TGTGCCTTCGCCAAAAGTTCAACTACGGTTGAACCAAGACAGGCTATGCGCCTTCATTAGCAAGTTCGACTACGGTTGAACCGGGACTCAGGCTATATGCCTTCGCCAAAAAGTTCAACTACGGTTGAACCAAGACAGGCTATGCGCCATCATTAGCAAGTTCGACTACGGTTGAACCAGGACTCAGGCGATGTGCCTTCGCCAAAAAGTCCAACTACGGTTGAACCAAGTCAGGCTATGTGCCTTCGCCAAAAAGTTCAACTACGGTTGAACCAAGACAGGCTATGCGCCTTCATTAGCAAATTCAACTACGGTTGAACCGGGACTCAGGCTATATGCCTTCGCCAAAAAGTTCAACTACGGTTGAACCAAGACAGGCTATGCGCCTTCATTAGCAAGTTCGACTACGGTTGAACCGGGACTCAGGCTATGCGCCTTCATTAGCAAATTCAACTACGATTGATCCAAGACTCAGGCTATGTGCCTTCATCATTAAATCAACCGAGCTCGACCTCGCTCGAACTATAAGGATGGACGCCTTCGTCCTCAACTTTAGCAAGTTCAACCACGGTTGAACCAAGACTCAGGCCAAACGCCTTCATCCGTGAAAGCAAAGCCCGACCTCCAACTAATCGAAGCGCAGGATAGGCACCCTCGCCATCCAAGTAAGTTCTCCCAACTCGAATTAAGATTCGGGCCACGTAAAGTTCGGCCCTGGTCGAACTACGAGGCTGCATTTTTTACTATCACGACCGGTAGTTCGACCTCGTCCGAACTGGGACTAAGGCTAAACGCCGCTATCGCCAAATAACGGCCAAGACTCGCCCGCATCGAGTTGAAAAAGCAAGGCCATCAATTATATTATGGCTAAGGCCATCGTCGCCAACAGTCGACCTAGATTCGACTAAGGTGAATAAACGACTCGACGACAGTCGAAGTCGCCTTTATGGCTAAGACCGTCGATTCTGTCACGACTAAAGTCGTCGATCTAAATTCGACTAGGGCCGCCAATGCCGACGTTCAACAAAAAGCGCAACAAAAACTCTAAAGAACGAAAGAAAAACAGTGACACAAAATAAGCACAAGGCAGGCAATAGAAAAGAAAACTTATATATTTACAAAGTCAAATTGCGGGTCATCCCCGCTTACACCCGGCCAAGGCCGATCAATACAAGAAATAAAAAGAAAAACAACAAGAAACATCTAAACGCCAAACGGCGAACAAGACAAGAAAAAATTGCATCATCATCTTTTTTACTCGGTGCCGTCCGCGCCACCGTCTGCACCAGCGTCAGCCTCGGGCGTCGCCGCATCAAAACCACAGTCGGCACGGGCCTCACGAGCCTTCTGACGCGCCCCCTCGAAAGCAGCTTTGGTCACGACGCCAGCCTCCCACAAACTCTTATATACATCACGTTGGGCCTCGGCAAAGACCCAAAGTTCTCGAGCCTGGCTGGAAGAAGCGACTTGATCCCGTAGCCGCTGATTCTCTTCTTCCAAGGCCGTGATTCGGTCCGCCATGACCTGGGCGTCCTGCTCGAAGACACCAATCCGCTCCTCGAGACTCGCCTCTCTAAAGGCCGCAGCATCCCTTTCCAACGCCCGTTGGGATTCATGCACGCGGATAGCTTCCTTCAACGCCCCGGCCCTCGACGAGGCATCCCTCACTTGAAGCTTCAATGCCGCGACTTCATCCTCTAACGCGGTTACCTTCCCGCTCCATGCCGCAGTGACCTCCGCCGCCTTCGCCTGGTCACGAAGCTCGCACTCAGCTGCAGCCCTCTTTACCGCCTCGAGCTCCTCATCCTTTCGGCGGAGCTGCTCCTCGAGAGCACTCGTCCTGTCAAGTGCTTGCCGCATCTGAACCTCCCGCCTCGCCAGCTCTTCGACCAAGGCCCGGCTACGAGGATCGTTCCTCAAGCGCTCCCGCAACTCTCGACACTGATCCCGGTAGCGGCGATACTTCTCCAGCGCCCGCAAAAATATCCCCGAGCGGACCTTGGCTCGACGGATGCTCTCCACCTCCAACAGATAAGACTGCAAAGCAAAGACAACGATCAGAATAAAAGAATAAACCTAAGGTAAAGAAGAAGCGAACCGACGTAACAGTACATACCCTCAAGCTCATCACGGCTACTTCATTCATCAGCCCGACATCCGTAACGCCCCTCAGCGACGTATTCTCGGCCTCCGAGCACAGCAGCTCGAACTGCGGCACCAAGCTTTCCCCTTGGAGCAATAAGTTCAATTCCGTGGGAACCTCGATAAAACGAGATCGCCCCTCTGCGCGCACCGCTGCATTGGTGGAGCCTTCCTGGAACATACGGACGTCGTCGGGGTCCAAGTCGGATTCAGACTCATCCTCCTCACCCACATTAGCAGCCGCTGAGGAACTACCTCCCGTCTCAGCGACTGGAACCACCAATTGAGCCGCCGAAGCGACGGTATCATCACGGCCTAAGCCAACCGGGGCAACCCCCATTGTTTGTCCGCCCTCAGGGGCAGGCACCGCAGCAGCACTCCTCTCCGCGTCCGCCGGCGGGGAGTCCAAATTAATTACCACAGGAGGAGCCGGCGCGAACGCGACCCTACGCCTTATCAACGGCCTCTCCTCCTCCCCATCTGATGACGACTCCGCTCTAGGGCGCACAACCCCCGATGGCCCCTCGTCCCGAAGTAGGGTCCGTGATGGAGAAGAAACCGCTGAAGACTCGACTGATGCCGCCCTCGGTGTTGAGCGCGACACTGGCGCTGCAGTAAGCCGAGCAACTGCACCAGGCCGACGGAAGGCCAACTGAGGGGCCCTGACGCGGCGCGCCCTCCCTAATCACAAGAAAACAACGTTACGAAATAAAGCTGAAACAAAGCGGAACAGAAGAAAAGACCAATTTTTTACCTGCCATAGGCCTACGGCCATGCCTCTCCTAGAAAGACGCCCACACACGTATCCCCCTCGTATGGGGGAGTACGGCCTCGACCCATTCGCGTATCCAAGGCAATGGGGGCGGCGGCGACCTGTCGGCTACAAAAAAGACACGAGTTAACGCTCATAAGCACAGATCATAAAGAGGGGAATAAAAGAATTCAACCACTAAAGAACTTACGTGCATGGTTCCAGGCCTCTGGGAACCCAGTAGCATCCGCCACCAGGTGTTGGGTCCTGATATAAAAGAAGTGCTCGAAAGGGCGGGGGTCGACCTCGTCATCCAATCTCGTGACCAGGCCCCTCGCCCCACGAGGGCACGCCTGAATCATGGTGCCACGGACTCTCTGGGGAGCGTAGAGACTCAGCACGTGCTGCAGCGTGACCTCCCTACGGGCCAATTCCGCATATTTGATGAACATCGCCAACAATTTGTAGAGGGAAGGAGTGAGCTGACCTGGGCACACCCCGTAATGACGGCAGAAATCCACCACCAGCATTGGGAGCGGGATATTGAACCCCAACCTGAAAGGATAGGCGTAAAAAACGCAGTATCCCCTACGGTCGGTGTGGACCCTCTCCTCGCTTCTAGCGAGAACGATGTCTGCATGGGTAGGAACGACACCCTGTTCCCGCAATCGGGCCATCCCGATTTCCCCCATCAACGGGGCTTCATCCACCGGTTCCTCTCCACCGTCGACGGTGAAATCGATCGCCGGACCTCCAAGCCGAGGAACCACCTCGTCAACCGACGGGATTTCGCCGGACTCCATCTGTTCTGCACCTCCCATTGTCGGAGATGGTCCTTCAACTACCGGAAAATCTACCGGAGGAGCACCGTGAGAAGAACTGACTGCCATTGTTGATCTACTGAAGACAAATGTTGTCACAATCAAAGGAAAGAAAAGAGAAGATGAATTAGCAAAACGAAAAAGTTTCTTCAGAATCTCTCTCTCAGATGAACAATGAAAATATGAGGAATAAATGCCTCAACCCACCTTTATAGGCAACATAAATGGCTTTTGCGAAGCCCAATGGCCATCATTAACTGCACGACCAACCGTAAAACGGTTCGGTTCTGTCGTAACAAGCGTCATTATGACGAGCTCCATAAAGCGGCTTCTCAGCCATCCGCCAGCATACCGCCGTCAGAACAATCGCTACGACCTGTGAACACTGAAAGAATGTGTCGTACGCCGTTAAAATTTTGGACGACCAAATACGTACTCGGTGCATATTCATTCCCCTCCCTACAGCCATCTTCAATATATGAAAGGCTACGGCCAACCTCAACATATGAAAGGCTACGGCCATCTCTAATGTATAAAAGGCTCTCCAATGTACGAAGGGCTACGGCCAGCGCCAACGTGTAAACGGCTAAGGCCACCGCCGCCAATAAGACGACCCCCCCTTATTCGAGTTGTTTTCAAATCACAATCGACGAAGTCCGCTCATCGAGCTCGGCCGAGGCCCGACCTCAATAAGCGGAGGGACTAACTATATGGGTCAAAATCCGACCCCACGATAATTAACGGAGTTAATCTCGTCCTGAGCTAATACATAATTAATAAAGTGGTATGGCCACTTTATTCGTAACAGGACTCGACTCTGGTCCGATTTAATCTACGAGGGTACGGCCCAGTCATTCCCCCATGGGACGGAACTTCAGCATGGCCACGGCCATTTATTGCCAGCTCACAAAGCTCACATCTATAAATACGAAGAGCAGTAGCCCTAGAAAAGGGGGGCTTCTTGACCACTAGTGAGAGGAGAGAGAAACGAGAAAATATACCCCTCTTATGGGAAGAGAAAAACACCATTGTAAGGCTCTGAACCTCTTCATGGAGAGGCAGACCAAACAAATATTATCAATAAAGGTTTCTAATGCTTCTCCCCCTAATTCTGAGTTCTTAATTTAGTTTCTTTCATTTGGTCCAACGGATTATTACGATTTGCTATGATTATCCCGGGATTAATTTATATTGTTTAGTACTCGTAAGATGTGTAATATTTTTTGAGCAAACAGGAAGTGCTTTCATGTGCAAAATCAAATAAATCGATACTCCAGGGGAATGTAATGGCATATTTGAGAAATTTTCGTTACAATGCGGCGGTATGCAAGACAAAATGGGAGAGTTCCGGTGGACTTGCAGCCGGAATTTACGAGTTTATTGACATTCTCAGATTAGATTCCGCCAATCGGATCATCACTCGTTACTTCGTCGATCTCGATTTCGCAGCTGAGTTCGAAATCGCGAGGCCGACGAATCAGTATGGAAAATTACTACAGTCATTGCCGAAGGTTTTTGTTAGCAAAATTGAAGAGTTGAAGCAGATATTGAGAGTAATGAGCGACGCGGCGAGACGGTCGCTGAAAAGCAGAGGCCTTCACATTCCTCCGTGGAGAAAACACCGGTTCATGCAGAACAAGTGGCTCGGTTTGTACAAACGGACAACTAATATCATGCCGTCGGCGAACTCGCCGGCGTGGTTATCTCCGTCAAAGGATACGAGTGGAATAAAGTGCAGGACCGTCGGGTTTCACGCTGCCGTCGTGAACGGCGGTCTGTTGTTTCCCGCGACAACCCGTACTAGATGAGATACCAGCAATTAATCAAAATTTTGAATAACGTAATTAATAGTACTATCGCTTATTGTCCGTTTCATTTCATATTATATTTGATTAGACTTGGAATTTTATTAACAAGATTATTTGATTCGTACTTTGTACTTTATACTGACAGTGTTCTGAATAAAAATGTAAACCTACTAATTGAAAAATTATTCCATAAGAATTTATTTACATGTTTAAATTCAACAGTTTGATGAATAAGTTGTTTCAACTATTAACATTCACCAAATCTCCTGAGTAATAAACCAAGAATATTTATATATTGACAGTATTCCGATTAACTCTTTAATTTACATGAACAAGTACAGTGCTTTTAAATTTGCATTGAGCATGTTTTCAATATTGATATATTGGCAGTATTCCGAGCAACTCGTTAATTTAAAATTTCTTTTTGAAAAATTAGAAGGGTAGTAGTTGCCAAATTTGGAACATGAACAAGGGCATGTTTTGGAGAAAATCAGTTTATTGCTCACCACTAGGGTGTACATAGGTCGGGTTGGTTCGAATTTTCTAATTACTAAACCAAACCAATTCTATCGGGTTATTACACTTAAAGACCAAACCAAACCAATAAAAGTCGGATTTTTCGATCTCGGTTTTTCTCGGATTTTTCGGGTTTTCGGATTTTTTCGGTTTTTTTTTCATTAAGTCTTCATAGCATAAAATATAGAATTTGTGCTCCAAATATTTCTTAATCCTAGTAAGATAGAACTATATAAGGTATTTTTTCAATAAATAACATAAGTATGAGATGAGTCACGGCATCGTACTAAAATATTCAACAATAAAGATAATAAAATCGCATAAAATAAATATTATTAATAAGCCATAATAAAAACAAACATAATTTGAAATTACTAATAAGTTGCTAAAATAAGTACGACTAATAAGTCCTATATTATTTACATGACCAAACACTAAAAGAAAAATAAGTTATGCATTTTATCTAAACTACGGAAAAACCAAGAAATAAATATCCAACACTATTTTCATTCATAGTACAATTGAATTGAATGTCTTTTATTAACATTAGTATTGATTTTATATATGTTTAAGATTTATTTGAGTTTTTTTCTTTTATGAACTATAAAATTTATTGGAGCATCCAAAAATTATAAGTCCAAGCTTGAAATAATACGTGAAAAGATAAAACTATGAAAAAGTTTAATAAATATTTATAAACTGCACTACAATAAATAATTTTATGTATTAAATATATTTAAAACTTCTATACATATAATATCGGGTTGGTTTGGTTTCGGTTTGACTTTTTTTAGTTAAAACCAAACCAAACCAAATATGGTCGGGTTTTTTTTTCCAACACCAAACCAAATCATAGTCGGGTTTTTTTTCTCGGTTTGACTCGGATTATCGGGTTGGTGCGGTTTGTCGGTTTCATTTGTACACCCCTACTCACCACTACAGGTGTTGGAAAATACACTTTAAATGTTCTAGGGCTGAGGAACTAGGGGTTCATCCTATGACGTAAGGATTTTCACCGACTAGTGATTCGAGTTGTGTTGCTGCAAACGATTCACTCGCTTCGTAAAAATATTGTTAGTCTCTTAAACTAGCGTTTTATCACAATATAACAAGTACTAATTAGGTATTTTATGTCCATCAAATTAGAATAAATTAATATTAGTTGATTGTTTAATTTATCCACAATATGTACGCGACAAATGCACATTGCATTTTGTGTGGGAAAGTAGGATTTTTATATTTATAATTCAGTGGTCAGAGCAGCTTCGTTGACACTTGACAACATGAAAAATCCAGTTTCAAAATAGAGTCCGGAATCAAAATGTTGTTATTTTGGACTCAAAATATACAAATAGGTTGCAGCGTGACCTCCCTACGGGCCAATTCCGCGTACTTGATGAACATTGCCAACAATTTGTAGAGGGAAGGAGTGAGCTGACCCGGGCATACCCCATAATGACGACAGAAATCCACCACCAGCATTGGGAGCGGGATATTGAACCCCAACCTGTAAGGATAGGCGTAAAAAACGCAGTATCCCCTACGGTCGGTGTGGACCCTCTCCTCGCTTCTAGCGAGAACGATGTCTGCATGGGTAGGAACGACACCCTGTTCCCGCAATCAGGCCATCCCGATTTCTCCCATCAACGGGGCTTCATCCACCGGTTCCTCTCCACCGTCGACGGTGAAATCGATCGCCGGACCTCCGGGCCGAGGAACCACCTCGTCAACCGACGGAATTTCGCCGGACTCCATCTGTTCCGCACCTCCCATTGCCGGAGATGGCCCTTCAACTACCGGAAAATCTACCGGAGGAGCACCTTGAGAAGAACTGACTGCCATTGTTGATCTAATGAAGACAAATGGTGTCACAATCAAAGGAAAGAAAAGAGAAGATGAATTAGCGAAACGAAAAAGTTTCTCCAGAATCTCTCTCTCAGATGAACAATGAAGATATGAGAAATGAATGCCTCAACCCACCTTTATAGGCAACATAAATGGCTTTTGCGAAGCCCAATGGCCATCATTAACTGCACGACCAACCGTAAAACGGTTCGGTTCTGTCGTAACAAGCGTCATTATGACGAGCTCCATAAAGCGGCTTCTCAGCCATCCGCCAGCATACCGCCGTCAGAACAATCGCTACGACCTGTGAACACTGAAAGAATGTGCCGTACGCCGTTAAAATTTTGGACGACCAAATACGTACTCGGCGCATATTCATTCCCCACGGCCATCTCCAATATATAAAAGGCTACGGCCGTCCTCAATATGCGAATGGCTACGGCCATCTCCAATATATAAAAGGCTACAGCCATCTTCAATATATGAAAGGCTACGGCCAACCTCAACATATGAAAGGCTACGGCCATCTCTAATGTATAAAAGGCTCTCCAATGTACGAAGGGCTACGGCCAGCGCCAACGTGTAAACGGCTAAGGCCACCGCCGCCAATAAGACGACCCCCCCCTTATTCGAGTTGTTTTCAAATCACAATCGACGAAGTCCGCTCATCGAGCTCGGCCGAGGCCCGACCTCAATAAGCGGAGGGACTAACTGTATGGGTCAAAATCCGACCCCATGATAATTAACGGAGTTAATCTCGTCCTGAGCTAATACATAATTAATAAAGTGGTATGGCCACTTTATTCGTAACAGGACTCGACTCTGGTCCGATTTAATCTACGAGGGTACGGCCCAGTCATTCCCCCATGGGGACGGAACTTTAGCATGGCCACGGCCATTATTGCCAGCTCACAAAGCTCACATCTATAAATACGAAGAGCAGTAGCCCTAGAAAAGGGGGGCTTCTTGACCACTAGTGAGAGGAGAGAGAAACGAGAAAATATACCCCTCTTATGGGAAGGGAAAAACACCATTGTAAGGCTCTGAACCTCTTCATGGAGAGGCAGACCAAACAAATATTATCAATAAAGGTTTCTAATGCTTCTCCCCCTAATTCTGAGTTCCTATTTTAGTTTCTTTCATTTGGTCCAACAGATTATTACGATTTGCTATGATTATCCCGGGATTAATTTATATTGTTTTGTACTCGTAAGATGTGTAATATTTTTTGAGCAAACAATTGTAAAAGTCGATCAATATTTCGAGGTTATTTTAGTCGTTCAACATTTAACATAAATTATTCGTGCTTTTATAATAATACTAGTCTTAGGGTACGCGCTTTGCGCGTGTACCCATATCAATGAGTATACAATTTTTTAAAAATCACGTATATATTATTAGACAATGTGGTTGAGTTCTATAAAAATAAAAATTAAAGAAAACTTGCTGAAAATGATAAAAGTTGCTCCCATTTAGCAAGCTCAACTAAATTAAGTTATATTGTTCTACATAAGTTTTCAAATGCCTTATTGTGATTTTTCGAGAACTTATGTAAAGATATCTTATGACAGTTATTTTTATTTCTCTAACCTAATAGTGAAATAAAACAATAATTTTTTTTTATTACAATTCTTTAAAGGTTTGCCAAATAACACAAACTGAAAATTGTATTTTTTGGTCTTTAAAAGATTTGAGTATGAAAAGGTTGATAATATACTCCCTAAAGATTTGACTGTGACAATACAAAGTCTAAAAAATTTAATATTGGAACTAATATTTTATAATCGGGTCGTCTATTTTTTGGTTCGTCTTATGAATTATTAATTTAAAAAAGTATTGAATTAAATTCTTTTGCTAATTAGTTAATTCAAAGTATTAATTAGTTATTTTCAAAATTAAAGGAAATAGTTTACTCATTTAAATTTCTAATAGTAGTACCTCATTCCAAATTTTAAATATTTAAGTGTAATTATAACTTTATCCGGTAAGAATTATATTTTCAGATAGTGAAAAAGTATATGTTTGGATCTTTTTATTTGTAAATCATCAATGTTTTTGACTCATTCCAAACAGTTATTGTTCAAAGGATGAAATGATTTGGATAAGTTATTTAAAATTCTAATTGATTTTAACGACTTCCTACCTAATAAGAAAATATTTGATAAATAAAAATTTAGTAATCTAATATTAAGAAAACAACATGGAAGGTATTATAGCCCAAGCCAAGTATCGATCGATTTTTTCGTTTTTTGAAAATAGATTTACATTGGAAAAATTATAATTTAATTACTTTTTAATATTTAAGACTTTATATCAATTTATATTCCGGTTATTAAATTTTCTGTATTTAAAATAATTAAGATTATCTTATATAAAAATTGCTAACTACGTAGCATAACTATAATCATTAAATTGCCTAATAGCATCTGCTATCTTTTTTTTACAAAGTCAACCAAATTAGACTATCGCCACCTTTTTTTTATTAGGCATACAAATAAATCATCACGTCACGAACTATGCAAACACCTTGGTTAATTGTTGTTTTATAAATAAAAAAGTTGCTAAAATTTTTTGTATGAAAATATGAACTAACTGTAACAGAAGCGTGTTAATAAATGGATCTTCTGTGAAACCTTAATAATTTAACTGTTAGTTTATTTTAAAGTCTTCTATATTTATAAAGTTAACACGAAAGGAGTTATAATTATATTACATAATTTAAATAAAAAATAATTTATATAAGGTAAAACTTTTAAAGCCTTAAATATTAGGACTTTCTACCTAGCTCAATTAGGAAAGATTTAATAACCAAAAATGTAAATTAATTTTGAAATACTAA